ACTAGGTGCTTCTTCGGTGGTGTCCCTGTTCTACGCCGCAGAAGCATCTTGGGCTTTCAAAAGGCCCTTTTGGCGGTCCAACACCTTCCGATGGAGCTTCCTTTCTTCCGAACGTCCTGCCCGCTGTGGGTTTTGGTTCGTGCCGAGGCTCGGAGCGATCCAATAGTTCAAGGCGCCCAGAAAGACTGCCTGGGTTGTGCCCCTTCGATCCCCTTGCAAAAGCTCGAATGAACCTCTAGTGTAATTTCGTGGAGACTACCACTAAACCACAAAAGTATCAACGCCAAACTCTGTTTAAAAACAAAAAACAAAAAACAAACACAAAAAAAGGAACCGCCGCCGAAAACCCGCCCGAACAGTAAAAAAGCAACTGCCTAAGGAACCGGATGATCGGGGGACCCACCAAGCTGCGAAGGTGCCGACGATGGAACTCATGCGCTGCACCAAGGCCATGGCCAGAAATCGTCTCGTGCGAAGCTCTCGCACATGGATCGGAGGGGAGCGCGCACGTGCTTGTGTGGGTGGGTGTGGGTGGGTGGGTGTGTGTGTGTGGGTGTGTGGGTGGGTGGGTGGGTCTTTTGTGCTGGTGCTCAGTATTTTGTTCATTTTCCCCGAGTTTGACACATGGTAAAGGGATCCCTCCGGCTGAAATCTGACAATCGGGAGACCCTATTAAATCTTGCTGGTGCGCTAGGCAGAGACTGAGAAATGAAATGACCCTGGGTTTCTTTCAAGGGGACCCCTGATTCCCTCATTCCCTACCAAGCATGTGTCTAACCTCTGAATTTTGAGGCCCCTGGCATGTCCATAGTTGTTGTTGTCTTTTCTCATCCATGACATAAGCGTGAGCAGATTATTTCGATCATACCTGAAACTGGGCGAACCAATGATTCACTGTTTGAATTGCGGGCAATCCGCTTGGCATTGAAGCCTCGGCCAGTCTGAATTGAAGCGAGATGCACCTTTCGCCTCAAGCCTTCTCTGGCTATGTTTTCCAAGCCTCTAAGCGGGCAACGGCTTCCTCTCAAACATCCATCCCAAACGGGCTCCCTGATTGTTTCGTGGCTTAGTTGTTGGAAGCTGGGAACGGTTTGGGGTAAAGGAAAACGACAAGAGAGCCGGAGACAACCCCATGCCAAAAGGAGATTCACCTAAAGTTATGTTCAGCACCGCAAACAAACATCACTTGTGGACCCCAAAAAAACAACTTCCTCCCTTGGCTTGACGATGCAATGACGTCGTAGAAAAAGAACCATGGACCATGGGAGTTGTTCTTCGGGGCTTCAACATCTCTCACAATGCTCTCTTGGACGCTGAATCCAAGAGTTGCTTGGGGCTCCCAACTCTAAGCATAGGTCTGCTTCTTGAGATTGTTTTTGTCAGTTGCTTCAGATTCCCAACTCTTGGAAGCATAGTTGCTTATGTTTTCTCCTGAGCCGAAAGCCGAAGGTGACAAAGTGAGCTCAGAAATGGCCGGAGATGGCAGTGCTTCGCTTTTCCACCCAACCCGTTGGGTGCAAACCACTATGTTCCTTTCGGATGTGTTTGGCCCTGGTGCATGGAGAGGGATTTCGAAGCCTGGAATTCGCTTGGCCAAATATTGCATCCCATTTTCCACTTTGGGAAACTGGAAAAGTGGAACCTGCGCAGACCCTCTGGGCTCCCTTGCTCCCTTCCCTTCGCTCGCCCGAACCCCATGTTTTTGTTTTGGGACCCATAAACAAAAAGATAAAACGGAGGGCTGAACGCGCTAGCTCTAGCAAATGGTGTCCGATCGCTGGCATCAAAAGGCAAACATGTTTGTAGCATCCAAAAGCGTTGGAGAAGCATGATACTCCGACAAAATCACAGAACATTGATTGACCCATATCATTCCCACCACCGACTGGCACGCATGGTCAAGCACCTTTACAGTACCAAAGAATTGCACCACAACCTCCTGGATCAGACTGTGTCCCCCATGCCGGTGAGTGTACAACAGGAAAAATAGACCGCTGGACCCTAACGGAGTATGGCGCTTTTATGGTCGAATGCTGGTGACCTTTCCATCAATCATAGTGTGCCATTCTTGCGTACAAGTGCAGGTCATGGCATGAGATTCCAAGACTGCTCCATACCTTTTGAGCCTACCAACCCTCCCATGATAATGGGTCCAGGGTATGCTCACAACGTGGCCCACATCTGGGGTTCGCCCAAAAATGAAACATTAAAATTTGGGTCTACCTTAGAACATGAAATATGTTTGGGGGAGACCCGCTTAAAGAGGTATGTTGAAGCATTCGAATGTGTTGAAGAAACCATGTGGCAACCACCAAATGGGTGTGTCTTGTTTTTACCTCCGAAATGGTGGATTTTCCTTTTAGTCTCCTTTTAAAGCAGCCTAAAAAGGGGGTAGCCTCAAAAAGACACACTCAAATGGCTGCGGCTCCAAGATGGGCACCCAAAATAGAACCCTTGTAATTGGAACCAAGGACTAAAATCTGCGGTTGTCTGGGGGTTTAATGTTGACCCACGCCCAAGTGGACAAGGCCACACCAAGTAGGGGTTCTGATCTCAGACCCCCAGGCCGACTTCGGTGACCAGAGGCCACATGAGGCTGAAGATCACCTGAGACGCAGACGCGCGGAACCGCGGAAAACCGCAAGCCTGAATGGGCTTGAAGCGATCAGACAAAGTTGCGCCTGAACTAGGTCCTCCAGTAGAGAGGTCAGAATAAGGGTACCCTTTTTTCTGTAGTCTATTTTAGTAGGGGAACCCTCCCCCAAAAAAGGGTACAAGGGACTTAGTTAAGAACCAAAGGTCGTTCAAACAAAGGGTGCATTTTTACCATGCGGGCAAATATGTGTCTGTTTTTGTGTACTTCAGCAATCTCTCACCCACGTCAGTACAGTTTGCCCAGGATCTTCCAAGTCTGAGCAGGAAGCAGCTAAGTCCGCCACTCAGTCTACAGTGGAACTTGACAAGTTAAATTAAAGAATCTACCCGAGCAAATCCACGCATGCCTGTAGAGGATTCGTTGGTTAGTAAGGTTTACATCTGGGAGCTTTGTTGAGGTACCCCGGTCTTTTTCCGGGGGGAGCTTGCATTCGAAGGGAAGACCCCCATGTTAAGGCTTACCGCATTTTAAGATCCACACGCACAAATATATTCGTTATGTGTGCTTCCCAGTTGCAACCGGTTCGAGGATTCTTGGTGGGAAACCCTTCAATCAACAACTGAAACAGGGTGGCCTGTCGACTGGGTTTATTTCTACGGGGTCCAAAGTGTTCTTAATCAATCGGCGAACACGTACTTCCTGAATGGATTGGTCAGCATAAGTCTAAACTTGTTGTTTACCACCAAAATGATCTTCCTAAAAAGTACAAAGTGAATACTCAGAAAGTGAGAACATGCCCATGCCATAATGTATCAGCAAAGGGCTTCTAAGGGAGCTCTAACTTTGTTTGAAAGCAAAGGGTGGGCAAACAGGAGGCCGGCCCCTTCAACTTCTTTTTGGTTCCCTTTCAGTGTTTAAACCAGTTTCGCCACACACAAGAAAACCAACCCTTGCTAACAAAAGTTGGATCAGGCTCGGCGACCTTCACTTTAAGCCCAGGATGACTCTCAGCCAAAATGCACGGTGGTTGGACAACTCGGTGTTAAATGGGGAGTCTGGAAACAATGAACGATTACCCCTGGAAGAAAATTAAATAGAACCCAGAAAAGAATCCTTTCTGTGACAACACAATAAGATCCCCATCCCTTTGATTACTTTGCCACTTTCAAGCTTGATACTCTGTCACTTTCCATGATTTCTGGTATCACAGGAAGTGACAATGTGTAGCACCCTAATTTCCAGCCGCCGTGCCCCTCACGCGGTTTCAGGATCCCAAAGTCATGCCCGGCAAGCGGTAGCCCAAACTCCCTCCTCCACGCCGAGTCGCCACGATGACCCGGCAGTGCCTCAGACACAGGCGCTTATATGTCTGTGGGTCAAAACCCCGTACCCCCAGTGAACATCCCAATCCAACCACTAAAATGATTGCAGCCATTTTTCTTCAGTCAGGTGGATTACTTGCCTGTGCTCAGTAGGGAATGACCGAGACCGGGTTTTGGGAATGAACCGGAAGGGGTTTCCCTTCAAGGAAACCACCAGTTGGATTGTTTAAAGGGGTCATTCCCTCATTCCCTGCTAAGCACCAGCAAGTCAAATGGAGCACCCACCCGATTCATCAACTGGGGTGGACTATTCCTGGAGTATGGGACAAAAAGGCTTGAATCCCCGGCAAGTAGGCCTTACTAAGGCAAAGGCAGAAGCCCGCTTGAGGTATGGGCAAACCAAATGGCACTTTCTGGGGGAGAGGAATATGTGGACCCAAGCCTCGCAACTTCAGCTTGACTCTTGCTAGACTGCTAGATGATAAATCTGGAATAGCTTGGACCTGCAGGTAAACTCACTTCCAAATCTTGGTGGCCGAACGGAGTCCAAACTTGTTGTTTGCCACCCCGGACTTCCCATTGAAAGTCGAGAGATGAGAAAGGCACCTGGAGCAGGACCTGCTTCTTTGTGAGCCCTGCAGAATACGAAGGCGAAGTATCAGAAAGGTCAGGTCGACACGCCGTGATGGTCCTGGAAGTCCCTGGACTCTCAAATGGCCATGGGTCAAAACCCAAATCGGTTATCCCCCAGTGAACGTCCGATTCAATCCAACCACCAAAATAGGTTCTGAAATGGGTGAATTCATCTACCAACCAAAATGGTACCATTGGTTTTGACAACCACAGCCATATCACTCTTGAAGAAAGCATATGTTTTCCGGCATCCTGAATTGATGTCCCGTTCTTTAGGGTATATGCCTGACTGCCTCCAGCGACTGTCGAGAAAATCCGGTGCATGTGGCTGCGGCCGCCGATGAGCTCTTTGCCTGGACCTTTCTTGGCTTCCTCCGCAGCATGGACGGCAGTCTTGCACAGGACTCTGTCGGCAGCTGTGGTGTCCGACCACTGGATACATGAAACCAAAGAAAAAGCCAGGGAGAGGGAAGACTACGAAGTAAATCTTCAGGGGCTAAACCGCTGGTTTTAGCCTGGTTGTCCGGCGAATTCCCACCCAAAGTCGGTGCTGCCTTCAGAAATTCAGCCCGTTGCACCACGGATCCAATGAATGTCACTTTTTGGCTAGTGGATGAACTGATTGTTGAAAAATAAACCAACCACGTCTAACCAGAAAAGCAATGCTACATGACGGTAAACAAGCGGGTTTCCTTGTTCCCCTCCTTGCATTGGACCCATGGTAGGCGACAAGTTCAGAGGCTCGCCCCCGTTTGTGGATGCCTGGATGCCCCCTGAATTATATTCCATTTGATTTGGAATCCCCAATCTGGAAACCACGAGGCCGATATGGACCCCTTCATAACCCCTTGATGTGGACACGGCTTCATACATCCCCAAACAGCCAAACACCAACCATTGGCGGCTTTTTAGGATTCGGTCGGCGCATAGATGGTGCCTGGTTTCGGTCCGGTTAATATTGAAAAATGGAAGCACCTGCAAAACGGGTGATTCCCTATTCCCTTAACAACAACTCAAACAAAGGCACCCTCGAAAAAGACACCCTCGTTTACCTCACCCCGTGCGACCCATCCCCGGAAGCTAAGCCACGGCGCTGGTAGTAGGCCAACGACACAGGGCGCATGATCAGGCCCGAGAGGTGTGTCAGCTGGTCCAAGGCATCCTCAGGAGTCAGCGAGCCAAGGTCAAAACAGTCGGGCTTGTCTCCAAAGTGGATTGAAGTCCTACGGGTTCTTCGTTCAGTTTTCCTTCCAAACCCTCTAAAGAGGCTGCCCCTCAAACAAGACGACCCCCTCCACATATGTGACATGGTCAGAATTCCAAGAATGTCGATCATGTTGTCGTGGTTGCCGTAGTAACTCTTGGAATCGTTGTCGAAAGACCCCCAATGTTTCGTTCGATGACCAACGCCCAAAATACCGAATTGGTGTCCAGGGACCACAGCGCCAACCGCATCTCCTGACATCTGGTAGTTGGGTTTCATCTTAGTCGAGAGGGTCACAAGTCTGGAGATGATCTCACAGCCGCCCAGTGACCCTGATAGAAAACAGCAGGAGATCTTTCTTGGGATGCCTTATCCCCTGAGCACAAAAGCGATCACATCTTGTCCCAGTGAACATCCCAATCCCCACTAAAATAGACTAACATGGGTAGTGCACCTACCTCAAAATGGTACCATTGGTGTTGACCCACGGCCATTTGTAGGTTTCATGGAAAACCCATTTGTTTCCAAAAGGGCAGAGGGGCCTTTGGGGTCACACCAAAAACTGACCTTTGTTTCTAGGGCTCACCTTATTCTTGGTGGGCAACAACCCGTCCCGGTCTTTTCCCGGAAATCGGTCGGCACAGCATTGGGGCTCCAAAGCAAACATTCAGCTTCTCCAGAACTCACCTTTGCTTCCCCAGGGTCAAAAGGCGAAGTGGATCAACCACGAAACCCTGAAACACACGACACATGAAACCGCGCATGGACCTTGACATCGCATCTGCGGCTCAATTGAGGCCGCCACGGCAGAGATGCCCGCAATCAGGTTCAAGACCTTGGGATGCCAAGGATGCGGCCCTGAAAGAGGGCTGGACATTGCGCCAGTTCAAAGGTTTCAGAGTTGCACACAGCCCCTCCGAAAACGAGTCCTTTGGATGTGGTCTCATAAAAAGGACTAATGGGGAGAACTTATATTGAATTTAGACGACGCTGGAAACCTTGTTTCACCTACCTGGTGTTCCCCACCTATTCTATTTTCGGAGGGCCCTAGGAAGGCGGTGCTACTCAAACATACCAACCGTTTCTTTCAGAAAATAAGCCCCGAAGGAAGACCCCCACCGAAACCTTCCAGCGGAACCTCCCGAACCTCCTGTGTTGAGGGCCTCAGCACGCTGGGTCCCAGTCTCCGACGCCGCGTCGCGGGAGTTGGATCTTGGGGTACCTTACAGGGGCCCTCGAGATGCATTTGGTGGGGCCATCACAACTTCACCTGGAGGGTGAGAACCCCCCAAAAGAAGCAAGCTTTCCTCACGCATGCCGCACATCCCCTTGTCAAAGCCTCTGGAGAGTTCTCCGGTTGCCCCCCCCCACCACTGGCGCTCGCCAGGCGCACTCGCGGACGGGCGGGACGGGCGGGACGGGCGGGACGGGCGCCCGGGAGCCCGGGCGCGCTCGGGGTAGCCCCACTTCTGCGCCAGGGGCAGGTGGCAGACCTCCATAAGCATGCCCAAAATCACCTGGCAGGAGCAGAAGCATATTCAAACTGGGAGTCTTTTTTGAGAGGACCCCCCCGAAGTCCTTTCTGGTGTCCCTTTAAAACCAGCAAAAAAAGGTACCCTCGAAAAAGAGACACACTCAACTGTACCTGCTTGCTTGGGCTGTTCTGTTTTGGGACCAAGGGTTGGATGTTCAAACAATGTTTGCCCGCAATCACCTGAGTCGAGAGAAGCCAACTGAGGCGTATAAATCTTTCAAACGTGCTCATTGTCTCCTTGGTTTGTTGTAAAATGGGAATTCGTTTCTGGCTCATTTGCTGAAAGACGGCCAGTCAACATGAGGTTCCATCGATAAAACATGACATAAGATACAGCATGGCCATATAAGACAACACATGACCTACGATAGATAAAATAGACAATGACAAATATTGTTCTAAGCAGAGCCCATATAAAACGAAACATGACCTATATAATATAAACGATGATCATATTGTACGATTAAACGCATATCCAGCAGTCTACGGTCCTTTTGTACAGCCGTGCACTCTACAAAGAGATCAAACAATGAACATGTTGGGGTTCCTCTGATTCAAGGAACCTTCATGCCGCAGCTGGCATGCTCGCGGCATGGAAAAAAAGGATCTTCAAATGGGCTCCTGCGCCTGAAATGGGGGGTCCCTTTCTCATGTTGTGTTCGATCAAAAGAAGTTAAAGGTAAACCGCGGAGGTTGCCAGCTCCATTCACACCTTTGTTGCCATGACCACTGTCGCCATGATCACTCTGTTGCCATGACGGCTGTGTCACTGCTTGAGAAGAACATTTCTTGGTATCCCAGCAAATGCCCCTGGAACCCCCAAAACAACCATCTGGGCGGAATATCGGGCTGGCTTCCAGGGAATATTGACCGGGCCACGGCTCCTTTTCCGGCGACCACGGTGCCCAGGGCCCGTGCCTTTGGAAGTGGCGGCGCCTCGGAGTGGGCAACCGAGTACACCCACTGGCAACCGGAGGACAACGGGGACCAGTTTCTTTGCCATTTTTCTGTGGAGAACCCAGAAAAAATGGGAAAAGGGTGCCACTGAACCACTCTGGCTGTCAGATACAAGAGCTCGGAACAGGGAAACCGGAGGTCATTCCGCGACAGAACAGCCTGCTAGTCAGCACCGAGCTGCTCCGAGCTGTTGGACGCCTCCTTTGGAAGGACGCGATGAAACTGCACAGATCTCGTCCACATCTTGTCTCAGCACTTGCACAGCAGAAGAGTTGCAACGCAGCTGCCCCAAAGACTGCTGAGGCTGAGATGCCGCCTCTTAGAACTCGCACTGCTTCTGACTTAGGCGGTACTGAGATGAGGCCGGGTCGCGCTCCAAATTTGGGGCATGCCGGAGCCCAAGTGTCCAACGCCGGGGCGACATTACGTTGGCAGCACATCCACATCGCTTTCCAACCCCAAACAACTTCGCTTCTTGCAGCCGCGAAAACACGATCAAGCATCTAAAAACCCATCGCACTCTGCAGATGACTCAGCTGAAATTATGCTACTCCAAATGCAAACTGATGTCTGAACGGATCTTCTTCGCCCACTTCACGAAATGAAGGATGCTTGTTGCTGTGCACTATTTGCCAATCCAAAGTTCCGACACCACTTGCTTATTGGGCTTTCAACCTCCTGGCAAGTTATCCAGCTTTGTCTTTGTGCGCCGGCTTCTCTGGCATCCGCCGATTGGAGCTGACCATATGTCAGCGTGGCTCGCCGAGCAATGTATTTTCCTGGCGGTTGTTGCCTTGGCATGCGCAGAAAGTGTTTGGAGATGTCAAAGCGAAAACACTGAGCTCGGCTGACTCCCTGAACTGCTTGCACAGGGATCTGACATGAAAGTCCCGATCCAAGAAATGCGGAGATCAAGTGGAGGATGCCGTCAAACGGTTTAGGCACAACAAGGAGAGGCGACTTGCAAGTAGGTCTGCAGAGATGGACCCCTCTGCGTCAAAGAGCCCTATGAAGTAGCTCCAGCAGCGTCTGAAATTTGGAGGCTCTGTAGAAGACACTCTCCATTCCATGCTGCTCAAACTTGATAATTGTAGCAGACCGTAACCAGTTGCTCGGCAGCAGCTCTTGCACCACTCGCGCAAGCTTCCTCCAAATCTGTGACCAAACCGTGCCACAAACGCACCTCTTACAGATTGCCTCACTTGCAGGCTGCGACTCAAACCCGATGTCGAAACTACACACCCATCTCCATCAAAACAACTCCCGCCGAGTATGCCAGCTCCTCTCGCGAAGCGGGCCTATCCGGCTTCTCAAACTTGACAGGCAGCTTGTGCGGAGGCGAATCGGCTGACGCGGCGTAAAGGCCACAGGGTGCATGCTTGGGATGCGGCAAGCTGGGCGCCGGTACCATATCTCCATGCGGAATTCTTCAGCAAAACATAGATATCATAGATCTCAAGAAGACATCAAATTGGACATCAGTATTTGGTCACTCGAAAAACCCATTGCACACGAGAATCCCGTGATTTAGGTGTTCGAAACAAGAAACCGAAAAGCAGCCAGGGACTCGACCAGTTGCAACCGCGCTGATCTCAAAGCTTGGTCAGCCCAACACGTTTTTTTTACTTTCTCGGAGTGCGCAAAAAAGAAACGCCCAAGCTTCCAGCTCTAAGATGGTCCTCCCAAAACAAGTACAAAGCCCCCATGAACCCCATGAGTGAGTTTTACCTTTTGGTTTGGGGGCCCGAACAACGGGTTGGGCTTCAACAAAAATCCGAAACCCCTGATGGTGCAGACCCTCAGTATTGCAAGTAAGCGAACAAGGAAACCCTCTCATTGCTTTATTTACTTGCCATGCTGTGGACACAACCCTGCACCACTTTCAAACCACTGCTTGAAACCATTGGTTGGTATATATAGGGGAAGCATCAACCTAGGGTTTCTTAGGTGGTGCGATCGGATTTCGTCCATCCACAGTATTGGGGCATCCTTCTGCATCTGCCAGCCCTAAGCCAAATCCAGCTGCCGAGACGCGATGTCGCTGGTCTGCTGCACGAACTGACAGCCCTGGCAGGCATTTTTTTGCGCGGAGCGAGGAGGGCGGGGGGAGGGGAGCAAAAAGCGATAACGTTTGAATGGGGAAGTCACCAAACAAAAAGGGAAAGAGGCTAACACCAATTGAACAACTAGTAATTGTTACTTTCAGACTGGCCGGTGCTTAGAAACCTCTGATGTTTGCTGCCTCTACCATCCCGAAGGGGGTCCACCCAGCACCCCCCAAATACATGCAGATACATGGTTGGGCGCATGCTGGACGTGTTGGAACCGACTTGCGCGGTACCCCAAAATTACCTGGTCGTACTTGCCTGCCTTCCCGTACTTGAAGGGACACTCCTAAAACGCGGCTTCTCTTAAAAATCGGCAGGCCCCCTTGCATGTTCAACCACATAAGCGAATCAAAGGTCTGGGAATACGGGCATGAATCTGACTGTGGGACCCTTTGGTGGACATGAATTGCGGGAGATTCATATCCACCAACCGCATTCGAGGTGGCTCCTATACAATGCACAGCCAGAAGATATATGACTCACCAACCTGAACTCAGAAATGCAGCCCCGAGAAAGGACACTTCATCGGATGAGGTGTTCGATTCCCCATTTGCTTCAGCCAACTGTACCTGCGCAGCAAGTTGTGTCCTTTTTCCTGCTCACAAGGTCGACCTTCAGCACAGTGCTCTGCTGCAGCTCCTGCACGCAACAGACAGTGGATCTTCAGAACAAATCCGCCCAAAGGCAACCTCCTTCCCCCAATTCCAATAACAACCTTGGGGTTCTCAAAATAGGAACCGGACTGCAATGGCCCGTTTGCTTTTGGTTCCCCCCTAAGTATCACCCAAAAGGGGGTCCACCTTTCTCAGAAACCGCACTTGAACTTGAAGGGGCAGGGTACTTTGTAACTGGTTGGCAGCCATAGCCCCCCCCCTCACCCTGGTTGTAAGTCCCCCAAAAGGGTCGTAGGAAGGTACTCACCAATTAAATACCCCGACCCTGACCCTCCATTTAGAGATCTTCCCTGGAAAGCCTCGAACAGCGGCGCGGCCAAGGGTCCTCTTTGCACAGCTCTGTGGCTTTCTAGGGGTTGGTTTTCCCAATTGGCTGATTGGATTTACTCATGCACGGTTTGCATGTGGCTGATTGGCTTTCTAGGGGTTGGCCAGATGGCTGACTGCCAGTCGCACAATGCCTTTACCCAAAAATCTTGCCAATCACCGCTTCTGTTTCCGGGGACCGCTCGGGTTTGTTGTGCCAAACGGCCAGTGCGCTGACAGCTTCTTGGGCTGTGTCTCAATGGAGTTTCTCTCACACCAGCAAGTGCTCGACCTGCTCCCCGAAACAAGACCTAAAACCGCCTTGGGGGATCTCTCAAAAGGCTCTTTCGGTGCCCCAGTTTTGTTGGGGGCGGAAGACCATAGCTTGCAGGTTGTAAACCCTCGAGCTTGTAGACCAAGCCTACAGCTTTCTCATGATCCCACGAAGCACGTGTCATTTTTCGTACAGGGAGTAGTTTAGTTTGTGCAAGACCCAAGTTGTAAGCCTTCAAGCTTTTCTAGGTTTCCTGGGATCTTGTATATTGCATGCTTCCTGTCCATCCTTGGTGCTAACTAATTAGGGCATTGGGGGTCTGGAAAAATCAGAAAACACACATCCCCGGTTGGTGGGAATATTAAAATATGCTTACTATTTAGCACCCAGGGTACGCACCACATATTAAGTATCCAGCCCCAGTTCGCCGACTCCTTCCGGAGGACAGTGAGCACCCGCCCGGCCGCGAGCTCCTTAGCAAAGCTGCAGTCCCGCCAAAGGGCGTGTTGGTCCCGGCTGATCCCAAGGGCTGGAAGCAAGGTAGCCACGTAAATTTGGATATTTGTGGGTGGTTTGGGGGGCCGGCAAGATGTCATTCGGGCGTAGATGGCTTGCAATTTGTCGGACCGCCTCCAGAAAGGAAGCTATGCCATCCAAGTAGCTAAACCCACTGGACTGGTGGCGAAAACTGACTGACTTTGTTGTCCTTCTTGCTTGGGTCTTCCGATCGATCCTCGAAACTAGTGGAAATTGGTGGGGGTGATCCAGGAACAGTGGGGCAACTGGGACCGCCTTTCTTGGCTGTTTGACCTTTTTACAATAAGACTCGCCCGAAACAAGAGAAAACCAAAGAACCCACCAACCGAAACCAACCGAAACCCAAAACGAAACCTGCTGTTTAAATGGGGTCGATCAGCCAGGCGGCTCGCGCATCCTCCAAATTCCCCGCCCACCGCAGCGCCCGCTCCGCCGCGCGCCTCGAAACGCCTCGTCGCTCGCGCAAGCACGCGAGCACGAGCGACTTTTTCTCATGCGGAGGATCTATAGCTGTGGCTGCCAAAAATGGAGCCCAAAACGGGGCACCTTGGCATATGGAGACAAGGCTAAAACCTACGTAGCCCCAGCTGCTCAATTTGGAGCCACACCCATGTTGATGCACTGGGGATGGTCACTACACAGCGAACCCTACTTGCTAGCTTCACAACCCTTTGTATGGAACTACAAAAAAACACTTGCCAAGAACAGTGAAGCTAGGGTTCCAAAAGGGGTTGACTGGAAATAAACTAGCCACTTTGTGATTCCTCCCGAGGTTTTGTGTTGGCAAGGGCTCCGCACCTTCTTGTTGCTTTCAGGAAGAATCCACGACCGCATCGGTGTATATATATATATATGTGCATATGCAAAATGCAGTATGTGCTTCGGTGTGTGTGTGTGTGAATGTATGTCCATGGCTTCTTCAAGCACCGTCCAACAGCACTTAGACGTCCCATTTGCAAGCCGGGCCGCCTTCCGCGCGCAGCTGAAGCACCTGCGGCACACAGCCCATGAAGAGCGTGCACAAGGCAAACCCTACATTTGAAAACCAACAATGAAGAATGGACAAACCACGCAGAATCAACACACAAGCAAACAAACTGGGGAAACTCAGACAATCACCGGGGAACAAAACAATCGCCAGGGAATAACAAACCATATCCCTCCAAACAGATCAGAGGGACGTAAAGGGACATTCCCTGTACACATGTGGGAAGGTTAGAACCACGCCCATTTCCCATTCAAATACCATGCACAAACCTTCCGTGTCCAACCAAACTCTGGATGGGGCCTGGCTGGCTCCGTGCTGGCTGAAACCTCAGGGTATTGAGGGACACCCCAATCCAAGGCATGAAAGGACGCCCCGTCAATTGAACCCAAAAACTCAGGACTCTCACAGCTCACAACCACCGCTGGGTGGAACGCCGAGAAGGTGTCGTGAGCATCTCAAACCAAAAAAGCATGAACGCTCAGAGCCGAAGCCGAGGGGTTTGCGTCCTTAAGACTTAGAACTCCGAAATCCACGAAACAACTAAAGCAATTTTGGTTGGTGTGTTTTAATCGTTGGACGAGGACATGATGATTGCTTGGCAGACTAGACTAGACGAAAACATCGGAAATATGACCATTTTGTCAGCCCTTCTTTGTTGCTTCCCTCTTTGTTGGGTTCCCTTTGGGGATTCATAACCCTTTTCTGGTTTACTTGTTGCTGGGGCTTGCAACAACCATCCTTTCACCAATCATGGGATATTTTGCGATACAGAAGGCGCGTTTTTCAGATTGCTGGGGGCTGCGTCGTTCATCAAACACCCACCAAAAAAACAACAACAAAAAATACCCCCCCCCCAAAAAAAAAAAGAGAAAGGAAAACAAAAGAAACAAAAAGCCAAGCCCATCATCTTCATCTGCTCGTTCGAGGCCTGTTTTTTGCTTTCTTTTCGGCGGGGAGCCAACCCCTCCCCCCCAGACAAAAAACAAAAAACACAGAGAACAACAACGAACAAAAAACAAGCCCTTCATCTGCTTGTTCGAGACCTGGGGTGTGTTTTATGTTTGTTTTGTGTTTTGTTTTCTTTTTGTTGTTTCTCCCGTTTTTGAGAGGCTAAAAACAAAAACAAAACAAAACAATATAATGTGATGTTGTTTCTCTAGAACAAAAAACAAGCCCGTCATCTTCATCTGCTCGTTCGAGACCTGGGGTTGGATAGAATCATGTTCTTTTTTACACAGTCATGCTAATTAAAATTATATTCAAGCAAAAAAGTTGTGATTGTATTCATTTCTTCTCAGTGATTGGATTCATTCTTTATCAAATTATGTTTAAACTCTAATTTAACTGTAAAGTTCTATTGGGAAAGGATCTCCGTCTAGAGTCTAAATATAAGATGCAAATCGCTGTAGGATTCTGACCAAGTATTTCCTTATTGAGTCCCAATTAAATCCTTTTCAAATTTGAGTACGAAAACCGCTACAAAACACTGTGCTTCACGGTGTTTTCTGACCATGGTAGCGCTGCGGCTAGTAATTAAGCAAATAAGCACGATTTCGGGACCTCTGAATTCTTTCCTTCTGACGTAATAGCTTTATCAAATGTCTGATTGAAGTGAAGTAGAAGTTTATAAGGACAGACTCCAATCAGAATTTCTATGTTAAAGTAGAATTTGAATATTGATTATTATACTTAAACAATGTTACACGGGAACATGTATTCAACATTTTCGGGACCGAGAATTGATTTCCTTATGATAGCTACGTAACATACTTATCAAGTTATATTTTTCCTTTTTTTTTTGTTTATCTCACATTGAATGGCATTTAATAAGGACAGCATCCAACCTTTGTTTGAATTATAATTTAATTAATCACGATTCTATGTCAAAATAAATGCTACACAGGAATTCCTTTCCCATAGAATCGGATTGAAAAATCAGTAGACACTCAAACAACATGTATTTAACAACTTTGGGACCTCGAAGTTATTTCTTATGAATTCTACTTAGTGTATGTATCAGGTTCAACCTAAATTCGAACTAAAAACTACAAAAGAATTGAATAAGGAGCGAGTCCAATCAAATGGAGCGAGTCCCATCAAAGGAAACAAAGGCAGCCCCCAGGAATCTGAAAAACGCCGTCCGCCCTCTTGCGATATCACCCCCCTGCCCCCCGTCCCCTTTTCTTTGGGTTACATGTGTTGACCTTTTTGGACTCCCCAAGGCCTTGCCTAGACATGCTTAAACCACTCAGTCACTAGTTCAACAAAAATCCTTGCATTGTACACCTGAACATTGCCTTGCAGTCCTTTCAGGCAGATCAATTGCGTCTCTTTGAACAGGGCTCCTTAAAAGATACATTTTGCCCATTTGAAGCATGGCTTTTTCCACCAAAGTAAAGGGACACCACAAGGGCCTTGCCGTCTGAACAATGCAACCAAGTCCATTTTTGCAGCCTTCCCAACCAAAGAAGAAAAATGGAACTACTGTGAATGGACGAAATCCTGCACCACTTTGAAACCGTGGGACACCATTGTTGATATTGTACAAATTCTTAGGTGGTGCGAACTGGATTTCGTCCATCCACAGTGTAAATGGAGTTGCAGGGCTCACGCACCTTGGGGGGCTATGGAAACGGGGGGCTATCCCTGATCAACCCCTTTAAGCCTTGATAAGGCCTTATTCAGGGCTTGTTCTTGGCTTATTCTAGGCTTATCCCGGGATAGCCCCCCCCCCCCCCCGGTGGCCGCTAGGGTCCATGAATGGATCAGCCCCCCTCCCCCACTTCCCATCGAGATGGCACCAGCTTTTGGTCCACGTCCCGCTTCTCCATGGCTGGCAGCTCCCTGAGAACTCTTTTCGAGCGGTCGAGCGGTTGAGCGCTCGCCGGATTCTGCGCTTGTTTTGGGCCATATCTGGGTAAACCGGACAGAACTTGTGCAGATTCTGGTTCGTACTTGGTCTTCCTTAAACATATAGAGGACAGAACCCAAGACTATGTCTTGTGTGTTTGCGCTCTTCAAGTTGTTTGACTTTCTGCATTCTTTGAAGGGAACAGTGCTCGCTTTTCTGCTGTTGTGCGTCGTGGTCTGCGCAAACTCTTCTTTATTCTTACAGCAACAGGGGAGTCGTTGGGGTCCAACCGTTACTAAACAAAGACAACAGACAGCGCCACCGCGCAGCCTGTCCCTAGAAACTAGCCTTTCCGAAAGGTCGGAAGAAAAAACACTGCGATCCTGAGAAAACACCCGTGCTCAAAACCTGTCAAACGAGGAACTATGGGAAAGCCTATGGCAAGGTGGTTCGTTTGGGGGAGGGGTTGGGCGGAGGGCGGTGGAAGTTCGTTCCCTGGGATTTTTTCTAAACGAAGCAGCAGCAGCCCCCCGATTCCAGAAGCTCTGGATCTAGCTGTGTGTCACCTGAAATGCTGTTTTCCAAATCCCATTATCTTGAAAGCTTGATTCAAAATCTATGGGCGTATGGGTACAACAGTTCTAAAACTGGTTAGAATTTTGGACACGTCAAGTACAATGGAAGGTCTTAGTTCTTCCACACAAATGCAGCTTTCGTTTTCTGGGCGCTGTCAGGTCCAACCGGGGTACAGTCCCCCCCCCTTGGGACAAAACCACGATTCTAAAGAGTGTGCCCCACTTTTCCCATGCAAAGAGCCACATCTATTTACCGTTCAGCAAGAATCCCCTCAACACCAACCTGGGCTGCCAATCTGATCCCCTGCTAAAGGTTTAGGTTGCGGGATAGATGGAACGCCCCAACCACTAAACCAGCTGAAAACCAGGACCAAGAAACATGGCTCCGAAAGAAGGGCCATTTCACCCTTCAAATCGGGAGGAATCCCTTGGCATCCTGTCCTGAGAGGCACATCTAAATGTTGCCGAGGCAAGGCATGTTGGTATGACATGCATGGATTCTGGGAAAGCTCAGCTCAGGTAGTGAGTTGCTGCCCTTAGGTTGGTCTACCGGGAAGCCAAACGCCCCGGTCCCCCACTCACATGCTGAGTTGATGGTCCATCAAAGGTCCAAACTTCTTGATTGCCACTGAATTGGCCCAATCCCAAACTCCAGTAGAGAAAGGGTACCAACTTTTTTCTGTGGTCTATTTTAGAAAAACCCTCCCAACCAAAAACAAGTTGTGAGGAAAGAGCGCCAATTGCTGGGGGCCCAAACCCAAGAAGTGCAACTCGGAGTGCGGCTGAGGAAGTGGAGGAACCACAGCCTCTGACCCCTCACGCCCAAAGTTGCCTCAGCAGCTCCCACGCATCCGAATCGCCGTAGTAGCCCAGCACCCGCGCCACCCGCAGGAAGCCTACGCAGGCGGGCGCCGGACGTCATAGAACACATTTGCTCATATAAGCCCCCTGGAGAACATGAGCAAATATGTCCAGTAGCGAACTGGATTCGTTTTCTCTTTTACCAAGACGGGAAAAGAAGAGCATGTTCTTAAGTAAATGGAAGGATAGGCTTCGCGCATTCGAGGCGGCAAGTCCATTCCTGAACATGGGGTCGGTTTCTGGCTTCTAATCCCAACAGCGGCTATTAGCGACTACTAAAGCCTACTAGGGGCTAATAGGGTTCCTTTTGGGGGCCACTGATAACCATGGCTGTCTGCCAGACAATGTGATGTTACCTGGAGCCCCACATAAGAATAGTAGAAATAGAAACTAATAGTAACATATATATATATTACAAAACAAAACACGTTCAAAGGCTTGAGCTACATCATAGGCTCCATGGAAACTAGGTGAACAGGCCCCAGCGAACACACCATCTCAGAGATATTCCTGTAAAACGATCCTTGAAACATCTACTGATTGAGAGCCATGGCCCTAGCGGTCCTGATTAGTCACTAATAGCTTACTTCCTGAGTGGATTGGCCACAAAAAGTCTAGACTGTTTGTTTACCACTAAATGGTCCATCCAAAAAGTAGAAAGTCCGTGAGCTCAGGAAGTGAGATAGTCACTCCTAGTCACTAGTCGCTCGCCTTGTGTCTCGGAATCAATATTGGAACACCCTCCCACAACACGCGTATGCATAGGTGGCCATTGGAAAAATAGATGGCCCTGGTAAATGCAAGACACCCCACCTAAACCAGTGCCACTACTTTTGATCAAACTAACCTAAAAAGAACACCTATGCACGTATGGCTTTGTCACTGTATCGCTTTCACTCCCCCGCCTAAGCGCCTGTACAAGCGCTGCGCCGGTTGGTTGTCAGCCTGATCCGACGCACCGCACCCGTATGGAGCACACATGTTGGTGTTGTTATGTTGGTTCACCTTGGTTTACGTTGATGAACGGTGGTTAGTGTTGGTTTATGTTGTTTTGTGTTGGTTTGCGCTGCTTTCTGTCGACTCTTGTAGGTTTGCGTTGGTTTATGATGGTTCACTGATCAAATGATTGATTGCTTTAAGCCATGTCCATGTCTCGTCAAAACGGAAAAACAATCTTAACCTGTACTGGGTAATCCACCCTTAAAATTGTCACCCCTACCGGTGCGACGCCCAGGGTTGCTCAAAAGGTTGGCTTATGCTGGTTCGGCCACGTCTGTGAAATCTTATATTAGCCAGGGCCAAACAATTGGATGTCCATTGGATTTCCTTTGAACACAACCCAGGCTGGCTGTTTCTCCTGGTTCGCGCACAGCCACATTAAGCACCTCATGCGGTTGTGCGCCTCCTGTTCATGCTGGTTTAGCAAAAGACCCCAACTGGGACGAGCTATATAACTGGTGGCTCTTCAAAACACAAAGTCCATCAAGCTGAGCAGTTCAATAGAAACAAAACACACATTCTAAGAAGTCAAGCCAGGTACGAAAACTGTCCACCTCACCGGTGTGTTAGCTAATCAATTCTGCATTTTGGGCCTGCTCTGCTGAAAGCAATGAGTCGAGAAATTGTTTTCCGAATCAGGACAAGCTGTTCAGAAGGTGCGAGTTGATGGCCTGCTCTGGAGCCAGATGCCGAAGCGCAACTTCTATGCGAAGGGCAAGAGGGGGTTGTTCTAGGGGTTGATGCCCCATTCTTTTCAACCATCGCTCTTTTCAAAAACGGGATCCGTTTTTCATGGGTTTCCGGAGGTTTTCCAGAAAGATTCGGATCCCTGGGTTCCGAATGGTTGGAAGGTATCCCTAGAGTCGTCCCTGTCCGAAGCTCTGAAGCCCGTGCCCTGACGTGCAGCATGGCCAACGCGGCGCCCGCGGCCTCGCCGAAGCCTGAGACCGCCGACCGGATGATCCCGGCGTCTCTCCTGAACAAAAACCTCGCTGGAAGGAGACTGACTTGAACCAATTGGCAAGCAACCCGCCAAAAAGGGGTTGCTAAGAGAAAACCATGAGGATTCAGATTCTGCTCATATTTAACCCGCCAATATGAAGTGGTTTTGGAGGAGACCCCAGCAACGCTCCAGTGCTACTTTGCTGTTTGGCGCGTCCTTTTTGGGTACCCCCCGTCTCCGGTGCTTTGAAAGGAGAAGGAATCCAGTTTTCTGAGCGGAATTCTTCAAGCTTTCCTGCTTCCTTCCACGACCAGATGCATTGTCTTTGGACACCGGGTGGTTCTTCTTCCCCCCCCTTTGTATTTCTGAGGGTCAAACTAGGGGCACCCCCTGGCCCTGGGTGCTCCAAGTGCGGCTTCCTGGCAACCACGTCCCAAGCTGCCTTCCCCACTTAAGTCAATTCCATAGTCTACCTAGGTCCAAAACCCTCTCTTTTGACTACTTGGCCCCTTGGTTTTTTCCCGTGGTTTCTCCCTCATTTATTTGCCCACTTGGCTAAAACAACCATGGGGCACATTTCCCATTCCGTGCAGCTCAAATTGTTTTGAGTGGCTTTCCTAACGGAAACCCCATGTCTCACGGACCTTTTGATCAGGGTCAAAATCCAAATCGTAGCCTTAGTGAACATCCGATTCAGACCAACCACCAAAATCGGTTCCAAAATGGGTCACTTCACCTACCCCAAAATGGGATCCCATTGGTTTGGACCTATAGAGCCGCATCCATCCATCCAACCAACCATCCAACCATCCATCCATCCGACGGCTTCTCGCTCCCTCCGCGCAACTCAGCGCCCGCAGCAGCAGCGCCTTCCCCGTGCCGCGCCGGCGCTGTCGGCCCTCCACCGCCAGGCCCAGCACGTGCAGCGAGGGCGAGCTGAGCGACGAACAAATTCCCCGCGGGGCGTGACATGCGTCACTTGCTCAAAACCATGCACCGTTGGGGGTCTAGAAAACATTGAGAACACATCTCCAGTAGTAGATTGAAACCAAACAGGGGAAACTGAAAACCATATGAGTCATAATCAAAACCCGGTATTAAAATGGTCTACCCAGAGCCATGTAAAAAATTAAGAAGGCGGCTGCGGCTATTTCTGGTTGGGATTGTCCCTTACTAACCTTCATCTACCCGGGTTTTGATTGTGGCTCATATGAGTTGGGCTTTGGTTCATCTGTTGTTGTTCTTTTTTACCCCGGCCCCGGCCCCAAAAGAAAACCCAAAGTGTGTCCTGGTAAAACCTCCTCGGGTCAAGTCCATACCCTTGTCTAAAAGGCTAGGGGCCCATGGCCGTCTCTAAGCCCAAGTTTAGGGGAGGAAGTGTTGACCTTGGCACATGTTTTTTTTTCAAAATGACCCAAGGGCCAATTGAGCCATGATCAAGACCGAGCTGTATCAAAATGGTCGTAATCCCAGAACCATGCTTCAAGATTAACAAGGCGGCAACGGCACCCATTTTTGATTGGGACTATCCCGTACCAATTCTAATCTGGGTTTTGAATGTGGCTCACATGGAACCTGCCAAATCCGATGGATCATTTTCCTCGGGCCCTTTGCTGGGGTCCGTCTTTGTGTTTGGGAGGGACAGGCCACCAAGTTGAGTGGATTGGCCCAAAACAGTCAGAAGTTTTTGTTCACCGGACAAAACTCTTTTTTTTGCACCCGTGAGAAAGGTGGTAGAAGGGGGAAACAACCATGAAGGACATTTCTGGAATCCCAAAGGCTGGGGGGGGGGGCTTCCCAAAGACTGACCCCCATATACAGATGAGATTCCCTTGTATCACAGAAGTGGGGTCAAACCCCGAATGATCCCACAACCCTGGTAGTGATATTTGTTCCCTTTAAAACCAGCAGAAGAAAATATCACGTATCTAAAACCAGCAGAAGAAAATATAACCTGGGCTGCCCTCAGATCCCCCGCTAAAAGTTTACTTTTAGTGGGCTAAATGGAAACCACCACTAAACACTAAAAGGATCTAAAAGGCTAAGGAACCGGATGGCTGGGAGACACCAAGTAACGTGCTCTTAAGCCATAGGAAGATGTGGGCGCTGAATTGCTGAGGCCCCCCACTGCAGAGCTCCCTCGAGGCGCCAGGCGCAGTACCCCAGCACCCGGCCCCCGTCGCCTCGCGAGGCGAGTGACGAGTCCGAGCTCCACAGGCTCCATATGTTTGACCACCCGTATGGCCATGAGTTGTTGTTGTTTTTGGGGGGGGGACCACCTCACAAGTGGCTGGTGGACATCAGAATTCGGTGAGTTTGTCCACCAGCCACTTGTGAGGTGGTTCCCTATTTAAAAAAATAATGGCCATACTGTGGATGGACAAAATCCATTTCGCACCACCTAAGAAACCCTCGAATGATAATTGGCCTGTAAATACAAACAAACCATGGTTTCCCTTGGTTTCGAAGTGGTGCAGGATTTCGTCCATCCACAGTATGGCCATGAAGTTTTATAGGGAACCACCTCACGAGTGGCTGGTGGACAAACTCATCCCCACCGAGTTCTGATGTCCACAAAAATGATGTCCCTGATGAAAAAAACAAGGCCATAGGGCCATACTGTGTGGACGGTTGCGAAGTCCCAGCGCACCGTTCAGAAACCCAACAGAATGAATGATTCCCCCCACAAATACCAACCATGTCACAAACAATGGCTTCAACCATGGTTTCATTTCGTGGTGCGAACGGATTTCAACCATCCAGAGTGTGGGTGTCTTTTTTCATCAGGGACCCTTTGGTGGACATCATGTAGGTGGGGATGAATTTGTCCACCAGCCACTTGTGAGGTGGTTCCTATTTTTTTAAAAATGGAGGTGTGGGTGTGTATGACCATGGCTAACTTTTCCCATTCAGTGGTTCTCTGATGGTCACCCTATGTATCACGCACCTTTCGACCAACGATGGTTATGGTTCACGCTCCCTCAGACAAACCTGGAAGCTCGCAAGGATCCGAAACGGAGGACTTTTGGGTCCATTTCCAGAGCCTGAGGGAGTATTTGAGGCACACTTGCTGTACCTGGTTTCCATGAACTGGTAGGCTAAAGCGAAACAACCCGAAACAGGTCAAAATATTGAACCCAGTCGGGGCCATCTTCAGGTGGGTTGCTCGGAGATGGGAAGGTTCTCTGCCGAGAAGATTAGACTTTAAGTGGAACGAAACCATTTCTGAAGCTTGATTTTGCTCTGAAGCAGACAAGTTAATTACCAAACCGCCATACACAGCTTCGAAGTTCCGCAAGCGGTTCAACGAGTACGTTTCAACCACTGTAGTTTGTGAAGTACGGATGCCTTGAATATTGCAAACAAACCAACCATACTCAACCACAAAACCAGGCATCACGACAGAACAAGATCCCCCCACTCGAGTCCAGCGCATTCATCTTGCCTTGGTTTCCCTCTTAAGGGCACCCGACCCGATTGCTTCCATGAAGAGCTTCCGTGTGCCATAACTCGCCGGTGAAATACGATGATTCGCCAATCTAACAAAAACGGATCTCGATGAAAGGAACCTTTGTCATGAGGCCGCAACCACCTATTTCTGAAGTTGCTACCGCGGATGTCCAAAATCCTGTACTGGGAGGGATGAATCCCTATGAAAACTGGGCTAAACTTCAGACTGGAAAACCCGCAAATCACCAGGCACCCGGGGCACCTGAAAATTCGCTGTCCCCTTTTGCGGGGCAACCCCTTTCCGGTGGGTTTTTTCCGAATGGACGACCCTGGGGGTTCCCCCTAAACAGAAGGCGCACCTCTGGCAGTTGATCAAAAATCCTTAAGACTTACAATGTGGACCAAAGCACTGGAATACTGAAAAACGTTTGGATCCATCCTCATGACGGGGCAACTCATAGGCGACCGCAGCGACAGCAGTCGCAATGAGATCTGGCCGCCCACTTCAAAAAACACATTGGAATCCGACTTGGATCCCAAAAAACACGCCCATTTTCTTGATGGCGCTCAGCAAGAAATGAGAGAATGAACAAGGGATTCCCGAATAAAGGAAACCAAATCGGGGATGGCTTTTCTCGGGACCATTCCATGTCTCATTCCCTGCCTATCAGAAGAAGCGAGTTTTGGGTGCTTCGATTCGCCTTGCGCTACCTCCACGTGAGTGCGCGCCCCAGACGCCCGCGCATCCTGCAGCCAAAGCTCCTTCGGCCAAAATCGACGCCCAGAGTTGCGGTAGTGGGAATCGACCCCCCGAAACGGAAACGGGTGGTTTTCTTTTGGCGTCCCTGGAAAACCATCCGCAACATTCTCAAATGGGTGTCTCACTTCCCGAGTGAAGGGCCAAAAAAGTTTGCTCAAACTTTTGATGTACAACAAACATGGTCCAAACCCAACAAGGGACTAAAGTCCAGGAACTCGGGAAGTGAGCTGTCTCATGAGAATCGGACCCCCCATCTTTTCAAAACCAGCCAAAACAGGTACCGAGCTTGTATCAAAAATTGCACAAGGGTTGTCTAGCCGCACGCTGTGGCAAGCCACGTGCTCTGCAGCAACACATCAAAGTAGACCTGGCCCGGCGATCCGACCGTTGCCAAAGCTTGAAACGGGAGCGATCGGTTCGCCTCTTGGGACGGCGCTTCCTTAGTGCGAGAAGACACTCGGGTGTGGTTCAGTTGGGGCTTCCACAGAGGTAGAAGGCGATCCTGCACTTCCGGCAACATCGGCGTTCCGAGTCAACCGTGATGTCGTTGCTGTGCAAGGGGCTGGGTGTAGTTGTAGCCCGCCAGAGGGCCGCTTGTGATGTGGCAATGATCAGCTGCAGTAGGTTCTTCGGAGCCAGTTCGGGAAACGCTGGCAGCTCCTCTTGCCAAATGAATGCCGTAGACCCAGATGCTCGTTGGCTGCTCATAGACAATGTTCGCGACGTTGTTCCTTTTGACCTCGGACACTGGTCTCCAACCCAATGTCCACGTTCCTGGCAGGCCACTTCGCGGAAGCTCTTCCTGTTCTTGCGCTGCTGAAAGCCTCGACGCTCGGTGTCCTCCTCGATGGCCATCATGTGGCGGGTCTTTCCAAAGCCCTTCTGCCCCGAGAGACGATCTCCGGGAACTGGATCCACCTTGTTCGCGGAGGTGAGAACGCTCTGCTGCAGGCCGAGCAGCACTTCAGGTTGTAGCTAGGTCTCTGGACTGGCCTCTTTGCGACGAATGACTCCGACTCCTTCAGGACGATGTGCTGGGCGGCGACACGTTGGGCGAGTAGAAGTACTTCAGGAACATCGTGTTGATCGGAACCGGAGTCTCCACTATTCTTCGTGTGGAACTTGGTGTGGCTGACCTTATCCCAGCATCGCTCTTCAAACTCCTCGAACCCCACCTCTCCATCCAATGGTGGCACGCCATAGCCGTCTTTCTCCACCCGAATCCAAAAGGTTTTCGGAGTAGGCTGCGGCAAGCCTGCGTGCAGGGTTGCCCAGGCAGGCAGCAGCAGCTGCAGCTGCCTGGCTCGGCCCCTGCAGGCGACCTGCTTGGTGATGAAGGCGCTGATCGCCTGACCCGAGACGGTCACTCCGCTTACCAGAGCCCGCGCGTTGGCGCGGCGGAAGCGAAGGTCCTTTGACCTTTCAACTAAGGGCGCTCTCCAGGACCAAATGCAGCGGTGGTCCCCCGAAGGGTCCACTTTGCTGCAATTTGAGAATTCCTCAAGGGGGTGGCGCATTTCCCCCAAACGAGAGCTTCTGGGCATAAGTCTACCTGGGTAATGTTGACCACATATTATTCAACCAATAGTTGATGAATATGGGGGTGTTCCCCTCTAAAAATGATGTTTCCCCACTATATCCAGGGACACCCCCTACAAATAAACAGGGGTTGACATTCATCTGGGGTCAACATGAATCCGCAAACTGGAACCCAGAATTGGACCCAAAGACTGGCCAGTCAGAACACGTGGAGTATGGCCCTTGAGTTGATTCCACTGGGAGTCATGCCACAGGATACGTTCCGGAATCCTTTGCCCTTGAGAGACCCGTCATTGGACATGTCAGGCATCACTTTTCTGCAACGATATAAAGAAATGAAGAGATAAAGTGTGAAAATCCGTAGTTGAATGCACTAGGATTCGGATTGAGTCCAGGTGTGTGCCCATTATTGGTTCGATCCCCTTGGAGACACCATATCGAATTTCCCCATGTGCACAGTTGCCTGCAGTCCGAAAGGAAGGTAGTCCCATTTAAGATGCTTCCCACCCCCAAACCAAGCCAGTTTCTGGGGGGGGTAATGGACTATGCCACCACCATATAGCCACAAAGCTGCAGGGTGATTGAATCCCGTCTCCCCGGAGGGTAGCTTCGGTTTGTACGACCCACGGACTCTGTATTGGAAACCATACTGGGCTGTTCCCAGACCTGCAAGTCTAATCTTTAGTGGCCCTAAAAAACCCTGAAAGGAAACCAGAGGCGATTGTGCTTCTCGCGGTCATTCCAGCTCTGATTCCTTGCCTATCGAACCAGCAAGAAACCAAACCTGAGAGGGCATTTAATGACCCTAAAATCCTAAAGCCAAACCTAAGTTTCAAATCAAGTCTAACTTTTAGCGGCCCTAAACCTAAGAGGACAGTTCTTTCAATGGCCCCTAAAAACCTGAAAACCTCAGGGTTCCCAGATCCCCACAAAACCCACAAATACCTTGGGGATTTCGGGCCCGTCTTGTAGATGGTACATGGACCCCTGGCCACCAAAGCACCGGGCTCCAAACCGACGTCCGAGGGGCGAGGCACTGCTCTTTGGTGCCGAAGGCTTGGGTCTCGATGAGCCTCAGACGGACGCGCGGGGCCCACCAAAAAACCAGATCCATTTAGGTTGGCTCATATTGACCTCCAATGGTCATGCTGCCATCTGCTTTCACCGTCTGCACGTTTGCTTGTTTGCCGCCAGAAACAGTGATATCTATTTTAGAGGGCTCGGTCCTGCGGATTCTGAAGCTAACATTAAGCCCGGATCGCCGGGGCATGGTCCATGCACAAAGCCCAGCCGATCAGAGGCAGAATCCATGAGTTGCCCGGGTTGCTCTTTTGTACCTCTAGAGCCCAAAATGGTCACAGGGGATAATGTGGTGGAAGCTTTGCATTGGGGTCTTCGAAAAGGGGGACAATCAGCATGGGTGGCACAGCCTACCAAATGGCAAACGTCAAGACCATCCATCAAATGTCCACCGCAGACTGGATTTCTTCAAGGCTCTGGCAGCTCAAGAGAACAAGCGAATCTTTCTTTTCAGGGATGCGGTCGAGAAGTTGCCTTGACTCATCAAAGAGGGTCAACATTGGTCAATGGAGATGCCGGGTTGTCCTTTTCGTGTTCCTTTAACCCAACATGAAGAAGGGCACCCGCCGATTCATTTGTTGGAGAACGCCTCCATGACTCATGGTCAAGCTAGCCGCGCTTCATGCAGATCCCTTTGAAGGCCTAGAAGCCATGGTAACACCCTCATCCTCAAATAAACAGCTACACTACTTTTAAAATTCAACGTACAAGTCTGAATTCATGCACATAAAGATATGCAAAATCTCACGTTATACGCATTTTGGCGTATGGCCAAGGAGGGGCAAAAAGACGCTCCTGCTTGGCACGCACATGTTGTGCCCAGCTCATACTTGCTTCGGGTCCTTCAAAAGATCGGCCGCAATTCGACCTGGGAAGCACTTTTGAATCGGTTGGTTCTCGCGGGCTCCCTTTGAAACCCTCAACCGAAAAGCAAAACGATCCATGATCTTGAGACCGGCGTTCCAAAAACTGAAGGCCCACATCTAGCAAACGGGACGACGACCATAGTCGCGCAGATCCCAAATTGATGATCGAAACCCCTGAATGCCTTGCAACAAAGTTGGATGCTGAAGTCAGCAGAATTGCTAGCGAACGACTGAAACCCTTATAGAGATGCCAGGCCGTTTGTTGGACGAGTGCAGAAACCCTTTTTAGGAGGGCGGTGTATTTCCCGCCGAATGCTCTGCTTGAAGCGGTCAAAATGAAAACCCCTGCGTTGCCCTCTTTCTACAATCAGACATTTCGACAGTGGACCTTTAAGTGTCAAGTCCTTCGATGCACAGCCGTTGTTGGAAGGGGGCATATTTTCTTGTGGGCAAAAGGCAAAGTCTTTCAATGAGCAACCAGTTTCCCATGAGAGGCTCCCGTTCCTTGAAAAGGACGCACAGCCACTGGACACCTGGATTCTTCGAGACATCAATAGGTCTCCTACTCAGCAGATCCCATGGGTCAACCCTCGAGGAAAGTCGACCTGGGTTCTCAAATTGCCCGAACATGCCAATGTGTCCTGGTTTTTTATCCAAAAACAAACAAACACAGGGTCCATTTTTAGAAAACCCCCACCTTTCTTCGCAGCCCTTGTTCTCACTTTCTGAGTGGGTGGGCCAAACAAAGTCCAAACCTTTTGTCTACCACTAAAACCGTCTTCCGAGAAAGTGACTAAAGTCCAGGAACTCAGGAAGTGAGTATTTGCGGTTCCACGTCCGCTGTCAATTTGTTTCGATCCAGGTGCTGCAGCCAGGCACGGTCTAGCTCTCGGAACGGCCTCTGCGCGCTTGCGGAGCAGGGGGATGGATCAAACGCCTCGTTTTGTAGCTCGGTGGCTATTGCCCCGTGCCCCAAAAGTACTTTTTGCAGGTTGGTGGGAAAAAATCATTAAAAACAAAAACAAAACACACACAAACAAGGTTGAAGGTGGCGAGAGTGGAAGTCATCCAAGCAGCACATTTGTTCCCCCCCCCCCCGCTAGGGTTTCCTGGCTACATGCAGTCTTGGAAGACCATCCCCGACCTACCAGGAAACATATGACCCATGGAAAACTTTCATGTGTTACCATGTTGCCAGTGGGATTCCGACACCCTCCTTGGGGATTTGGGAATTCCAACTGCACCATTGTGTATTGCTTGGGTGGCTAAGCATGTGTTTGCTCCAGTCCACAAATGGGAGGGGCTTTTGGGATCGTTCGAACAATCCCTAATGTTGACTCCCCTTGGCAACCAGCAGACCCACCTGGAGCTGGCAGGAAGGAATAGGTTGATCATAAGTTATCTCTTACCATTAAACGCTTCAGCTGGTAGACCTTATACTCAGCTAGCTGTCTCCCAGCCATGACTGTTCTTTCAAGAGTCTCACCTGACAAGATCATTCTAAGATGGGATATTCT